TTTCTGAACTTACTATCTCGAACATAAATACGCATGCAACTTATCAAGCCACTATGGCGATACTGGAAACTATGCATAAGTCCGTCTCGCTCGCACGAATACTGGCGGAAGCGCAAAGTATGAAAATATAATCTTACATCATGATACACAACTGGTTCATGAATAACTAGGACATAAAATGGTAGTAAAAATGTCCTCGCTCAAGACCACGGCTTGCCACAATAGCTCATTGTGCCCGCTCGACTCTGCCACCTCAAAAATACAATGGAGGCGTGAGCAAACCACTATGCTCCGCAAAGACCAGTACTGGAATAAAACAGCAAGTACAATACACATATCATGAACATCAATATGAACGTAATGAAACTGTAACTCGCTTTTCTTTTCTTTTCTTTTTCTTTTCTGAACTTTGGTCCGTCGACCCTCGGCCCTCGGCCGCTTGTGTGCACAACCCGTAAACTTAGAGGCCCTTAGGTCGGCCTCTCTCGGGTACCAGAGGGAAGATTAAGTCCCTCGGCCGCCAAACCCTGAGAGAACTAAATAACTAAAACATACCTCATCCATGATACATATGTTATAAATGATGTATAACCCAGTACATGACCCCCACCTGGAATTACTAAATAATATGGACTGTCGCAAGTGCTCAACTGGGTAGCGCTCGGAGGCTCGACTCTCCTTAGGCTACATAAACATATATATGAAAATATGCTAAGTATTATACTCAAAATAATTAGTTAATATGCTTAATCTTAGATGCTGGGTCCGGATGAAAAATATGCTAAGTATTATACTCAAAATAATTAGTTAATATGCTTAATCTTAGATGCTGGGTCCGGATGAATTTATACTGCTACGGGGATTTTCTTAAAAATATTCTAAGTCCAGAAATTTTAACTGGTATACTCGAACTGACTCGTTTGGCTCGAAAAAAAAAATTACTGAAAATTCACCAGAACACGCTCGGACCGGGAAAACTAGAGCCAAACGGCTCGAACTCAAATCTGGCTCGAACTGCTGGTCGAAC